ATGGAGATCTTTCTTTCAACGCAGTCGACGACCGATGACCCAATTTTAGCGAGGAAGTCAGCTCGCTGGTTGTCGTTTCTCGGAATCTGATGCACGGTGCAAGCTTCGAAAGTTTCTTGTATTGCTCGGGCTTTGTTTACATATCCATTCATTCTATCATTTTCACCTCGTAATCCCCTTCTAACTGGTGTATAACCAATTGAGAGTCGGAGTTTATTCGCACCACCCGTGCACCGAGTTCTTGGGCGATTTCCATACCTCGGATGAAGGCTTCGTACTCCGCCTCGTTATTGGAGACTCGTGGTAATTTAACCGCAAATTCCACCTCGATTCCCGTGGGATCGATGATTATGATCCCTGCCCCTGCTCCTGTTGCCGTGGATGACCCATCCACGTAGACTCTCCACTCTTTCTCCATAGGTATCCTAGTGGTTTCTCGGATGAAATCTGCCAACGCTTGTCCCTTAACCGAGGTACGAGGTTGATATTGGATTTCATATTGTCCTAGTTCGACTGCCCATTTAACAATTCGTCCCGATGCCGTAGGCTGGCCTAGGGTTTGACGGAGTGGTAAGCTCGTACGGATTACCATTGTGTGTGATAAGAAGTAAGGCCGGATTCGCCGCGTAGTGAGGACCAGCGCGTATGCTATTTTCTCAACTTCTGAATACCTAATTTCCGAGTTAGTGAGGATCTTGCTGATGTAATAAATCGGTCGCTGTTGACCACTTACTTCCTTGAACAAGACCGAGCTAATCGATTCATCTCCCACCGATAAATATACGAATAGGGTTTCACCTTTTTCAGGGGTGCTAAGGATGGGCAGGCGAGTTAGCGAAACTTTTAGCGCCTCGAACGCGAGTTGGCACTCTTCGGTCCATTCGAACTGTGCCGCTTTTCTCAAAACTTTGAAGAAAGGCAGACTTTTATCAGCCATTCGCGATATGAATCGAGCCAAGGCCACCACTTTACCCGCTAAGGATTGAACTTCTTTGATGGACCGAGGAGGGGTCATTCGGAGTACCACCTCGACTTTATCTTGGTTTACCTTGATGCCTTCTCGATTAACTACATACCCGAGGAATTTCCCAGCCCTCACTGCGAACGCACACTTTGCGGGGTTCAACTTCATCCCATAAAGGCGAAGGGTGGCAAATGTCTCGGCCAAGTCAGCGAGGTGTGTGGAACACTTCTTGCTTTTGACCAGCATATCATCAACGTAAACTTCGATATTGCGCCCGAGCTGAGCCCGAAACATCCTATCCATCAATCTTTGATATGTAGCTCCCGCATTCTTCAGGCCAAAAGGCATCACCACATAACAATAAGTGCCCGTGGCTGTGATAAAGCTCACTGCGGGTTGGTCCCTTTCCTCCAACGGGATCTGGTGGTATCCCTGCGAAGCGTCCATCATGCTGAGTAGCTCGCATCCGGCGGTAGCGTCTGCGAGCTGGTCTATACGGGGTAAGGGGTAGTCATCCTTTGGGCAGGCCTTGTTTAAGTCCCGAAAGTCGATGCACATCCGCCACTGTCCATTAGTCTTTTGCACCAACACCGCATTGGACAACCATGTGGGGAATTGGATTTCCCTAATATGCCCAATATCGAGGAGTCGTTGGACTTCTTGCTTGATAATTTCGTCCTTGTCGATGCCGTAGTGTCGTCGCTTTTGTTTGATAGGTTTGCACTCGGGTCGCAGATTGAGCCTGTGTACAGCGGTGCGAGGTGCGATGCTAGTCAGATCGCTGGGTTGCCATGCAAAGACGTCTACATTAGATCGCAATAATGCTATCAACTCATCTCGAAAGGGTGGTTCTAGGTCTTTGCTTATCTGGGTCTGCTTCGACGTGCCGGGGTCAAGGTCGATTGTCATCAATTCGTCCATGGGATGTACATGAGCGATTTTCTCTTCCGGATCAATTCGAGGGCGTTTCTCGTCTCCCAGATCTTCTTTAGTGAGGGTATCACGTCGTCCTTTCTCCGCCACTTTGACCATCTCTACGTAACAGGATCGCGACTGAGCTTGGTCACCACGGACTTCTCCTATTACTCCATCAACTGGAAATTTGAGCTTTTGGTGAATAGTCGAGGGGATCGCCCGGAAGATGTGCATCATTGGTCGCCCTATCACGATGTTGTACGAGGTGGTAGACCCCTCAACAATGACAAAATTGACAGTTTGTGTACGTGTCCGAGGTGGTGTTCCCATGGTGACAGGGATCTTGACCTGTCCTATCGGAGTCAAGGATCCTCCCGTGAACCCAAATATCGGAGTGGTGACAGGGAAGATTGGGAGATCAAGTTCCATTTGTAGGAAGCATTCGTAAGATATGACATCAACCGAACTCCCCGAGTCAACGAAGGCACGGGCTACATCGTATCCTCCGACGTTGATTGTGATAAGGAGGGGATCGCAATGAAAATCATCGAGATCTGCTTCATCCTCGGGTCCGAACGAGATGGTGGGATATTGACGGCGCTTCGGTGCAGAGATTTGGCAGATTTCATGGTTATTCTTGAGGTTACCAAGATGACGCCGCCTAGCTCGGTGAGTGTCTCCTCCCGTAGGTCCTCCCGAAATCATCTGGATGTATCCTCGTTTGGGCCTCGGTGGTGGAGGCGGGACTCGTGCAGGATTTCCGAATTGAGCTTCACGCTTTTGTCCTCGGGGGGGGTCTATCTTCACGAAGTCCCCGATTTTGTTATCTCTGATAAGACGCTCCACCTCATCCTTTAAATGCGAACAATCATCTGTCACGTGTCCGTATTCGTTATGAAAACGACAAAAGGTACCCAATGCGGGATTTCGGCGAGGCTCTTCTCGGGCAGTCCGAGGCCAACGCAAGTCAGGTCTCTTCTCGATTGCGCATAACACCTGGGATAATGGTGCTGTGAGGGGCTGGTACGACTGATATCGGGATCCCTTGGCATCCGGGGTGGTGCCTCGACCAGAGCCAACGCAGGGTATTGTATCTCTTCGGGGCAACATGGGTTCCTTACTTTTCCTGGCTTCGTTGGTTCGCGCATTCAGCGTCTGGTGAGATTCCTCTACTTTCTGTTGTCTGGCTTCTTCTAGATTAATGAATCTGGATGCTCTTTCCAGCAAATTGTCGAAATCAGGTGAGGGTTCGAGCGCTAGGGCTCGGAAGAACTCGTCGTCCCTTAATCCTTGTGAAAGAGCTGCCATAAGCACTTCGTCGCTCGTGGTGGGGACTTCCAGGGTGGCCGAAGTGAACCGTTTGATATAATTCCGAAGACTTTCTTTCTCTTTCTGGCGGATGCTGAACAGCGACAGCGAGGTTTTTTTGCACTTCTTCGAGCTAGCGAATTGATTCATGAAGGCCTTGGCAAACTGTCCAAAGGAGTGTATACTCCCAGGCATCAACAAACCGAACCAGGCTTGAGCCGGCCCAGCTAAAGTGGTGACGAACGCGCGGCACTTCACTCCTTCCGTGAGCTGGTGGAGTGATGCTGTGTTGTTGAACCGACTCAAGTGCTCGGCTGGATATGACGTGCCGTTATACTCGAACAGAATTGGTCGGTAATTAGCTGGTATGGGGTCGTTATCGAGATGCCTGGCGAAGGGGCTAGATCCTGCGAGAACTCGCGTTGGTCCATTCCGCAAGGCTTTTAACTCATCCATATCGCGCCTCAGGCTATCAACTTCCGTCCTGACGCCATGACTGTTGCCTTCTCGATTTTCAGAATAGCTGTCGCATTCATCCTCAGCCCGTCCCTCATTCGGGGAGCGCCTAAGATCTCTCCTAGGTCGGTTATCCTGGGGTAAGGATTGAGCATAATTCCGAATGGCTGCGGTGATCATGGTCTCCACCTCGTCTCTGGTGTACGTACGCTCATTGGAGGTTTGAGCCGGGGCCGTGACTGGTTTTCTCGAAGCAGCTTCGCCACTCTGGAACTCGAAAGAGGGGCTACCCGCGACGAAAGGAATCCGACGTTCCTTTTCAGGTGTGACCAGGCTGCAGCCTGACTTGTCCTTCAAGACAGAGGACAGACCGGCAGTGGGCGTATCGCGAGCTGCTGCATCTAATTCTTTCTGCAAATTTCGGACAGTGGTATCTCCTTCTTCCATTGTTCTCTACGTTTATAGCTCAGATCTGGACTTCCGGGGGCAGATCTGATATTTTCCCGAAAGTTGTTCCCAAAGCTTCTAGATCTTTTCCCACAGACGGCGCCACTTGATTTAGTCCGTGGGGCTTCCTTTTCCTTCAAGCCAACCTCGTCCGTACTCCGGTGAAGGTACCTGCAACGCCGGGAGGGGTTCCTGGCGGGAAAACTCCGACGATCAAGTCAGAGATCGGAATGGAGGGAAATGTGTATGCAATGTGACAGTAATTAATGTATATCCTTGTGTGTGTGTGTGTTTGATGATCCTTCTATTTATAGATGAGGAAACCTTGGTCCCCAAGGTTTCCTTTTTAGGGTTTGCTCCCCCCTCAAGTCAAGTATTTGGGCCTTCTCTTAATGGGCCTGCTTTGGGCCACGTTTATGTCGGAGTCCGAGTTATGGCACTGCCAGCTCGTTATCCGAAAGTCGCCGTCCGGCATCATGCCCTGTAATGGTAATTTGGCTTCTCTCAATTTGTATTTTGCTCATCTCGTCATAATGGCCCGTATCACCGACGATTTTCGGAATCGAGCTGCTTCCGAAATTAAACAAAAAGAAAAGAATGCTGCCATGAGATTGGAGGAAAATAAAAGAATGGCGTCGTTTAGGTAGTAAATGGACTGAAAGAAAAGAAGAAGAAAAATAGCAATTGGGGAAAAAGTGGGCCCCCACCTGCCAAATGATTTTACATATGTTTTCAATTTTTTTTTTAAAGAAATCTTTGATTTTCTGGTGCAGGAAATAACCAACTCTAGCGGTGTTTCTTGGATTTTGAGTTGAAGAATTCTTTTGGGGGTGGTTTCTTTGGTGATTGTGTATATAGGTTCATTTTGTTGAAATGTTATATAAGCCTTGGTAATTGATAATTTTTTGAGATGGATGAAGGAACTTTAGTTAGGCTATCACCACTGAGGCCTGGTGGAGGCAGCGGTGGTGGTGGTGGCGGCGGCTTGAACTCATCATCGTCGGGGAAATTAACTCCGAGGGATTCCCCTTCTTCCAGGAGATTAAACTCGGGCCAAACTCCTAGAAGAGAAGCACGTAGCGGTGTGTTTAGCTCTCACTGTCTTAGAAGTAACCGCATTGTCCTTTGGTTTGGGCTTACGCCGGATTCTATTTCCAGTCGAAATGGGCCCACGGTGACAACAAGGAAGATCTCTTCAGCGGTGGCTATAGCGGCGAATCGGGCGGTGATAAATCCGAACCGCAGATCAAGAATCGGAGGAGGGACTTAATTGCTAAAGTCGATTCTGTGGCAGTTGAGTAAAAGTATTGTGGATGTGGTTCTTGCGAAGAACACTACATTGGATAAAAACAAGCCCTCGATGAGAAGTAGGAGATCTCTACGTAGGAAGAGACCAGTCAGTAGTAAGCCAAAGGCGATGATTGCAGACGAAGTGGAATGTGAAGTTGATTTGTAAACAGAGGAAATAATACCGAAGAAAAATACGACTTACGTATTTCTTGTGGGCCCGTTTGGATTTGTAGAGGACTCAATTTTGGAGTGGAGTGTCGGGTACTTGTGATATAGGAAGGGAGCTTTTGCTCGTTTAGTTTGGTCAAGAAAGTTTGTTTTGATCTTCCATGAGCTGTCTATGACTGGAGCTCCACTCGCCATGACTGGATCTTCCATGAGCTGTCTATGAAGGGGCGAGTATTTTTGGTGATACAGGTGCTCGAAACTGATTATGGAGAAACAAGAGAGATTGTTGAACACAATATAACCGATATTCTTCATCCTTTAGGTAGGCCGGGGGGCCCGAATTCTTGCGAACAATCTTCAATTCTTGCTCGAGAATTCAAAAGCAAGGCAATAAATAGGATTAAAAGGTAGAGAAAAAGTTGAGAGAATGTACTTGAAGAAGCACACGATTCAGAAGTTTGGTGAGGTACTGTACAAGTGCATGAGAATAAAGTAGGCATTTTGCAGGAGATTGATTCATCGACATTCTATATAAATAGTGAAATCTCTGTTATTTGTGCACGAGAGTGTAATCATCTGATGGAGCTTGATACATCCATTATGGGAGTTCAGCAAGAAAGGAGGAGAGTAAAGTTTCCCTTCCCTCAATTCTGGGTAAATGAAATGAAATATCCTTTATTAAATTGCTTCAACGAATTTATTTTATGTTTTCTACTGTTTGAATTGGTACTGAAATTGAAATAAATAATCTTGATAGGTGCGTTGGGGAGCATATGTTTTGGTTCTCACTTTCAGTTTTTAGCTATTTTGTAATTTACCTTTCAATTGTTAGTTATTTAGGTGTTCGCATGTATTTCGTTGAATTGTTTGCCCGCTTATTTGAGCGTACATGTTACATTTATTTGTCTGCTTTCTCGTGTCCTGCGTTTATTTGCTTAAATTGTGGAACAGGGTTGGCATGGGTGCATGCTCAATTGGCCACGTCAAGAGTGCAGGCGTACGTCGGGAGGTTTTTAAAATTTTAAGGTGTTATTGTATGGATTTTGATGCCCTTGTACATTTGTTTTCGTCGTATGTGGAAATTTTCATTTCCGCCTTGTGAAGCTGTTTTACCTCGTTATTTTTCCCAATTCATGAATTCTTGACATGACAGTTGTCCTTCCTCTATAAGATATGGAACAAATTTAGCCATACTTTGCCGGTTTTAATGTTGCATTCCATACCATATAACAATAATCTAACATAAATTGATGCTACGAAGAAAAGATTGAGGTATTGCTCCCTCAAGCAAATATTCAAGAGTTCGAAAGAAATCAAAATTTATACCTTATGAGGAAAATAACTGGGCACCGACACCAATATATATATATATATATATATATATATATATATATATATATATATATATATATATATATATATATATATATATATATATATATATATATATATATATATATATATATATATATATATATTAAATACGAACCTAAGTAGATTCATATGACATATTATAAATATTTATATAACCACCCAGAGCCGGCCTTGGGGGTAAGACAGGGAAGCATTGGCTTAGGGCCCCACCCCACAAGGGGGCCCCATAATATTTTTCATAAACCACTATATGACCCTGATAATTAGTTATATAGCACATTTTAGTCCTTAAATATTTTATTAGATGTTGTTTTAAACTATATGTTAATGGAATATTTTAGGGGGTGGTTTCGGTACGGTTACCGAATATTTTGTTTAATACCGTTTACCTACCGTATCTTGCGGTATTGAAAAAATTTATACCGTTACCGTACCAACAATTGCGGTATACCGTTACTTTCGGTACGGTATAATCGGTACGTGGTACTCTACCAACACCATTTTGTTGACGAACTCGGATAATACAATAATTTTGATAAATACTAAATAAATGCACAAATGCATAAAGGCTTCAAATTAAGCAAATGTAGTTGACAATTAAACAATCTAAGGTAATATACATTATACAACCATATTTGAATATAATTTTAGTTTAGATAACTAATGCTTACTAAGAGATCTATACGAAATACATAGAAATTAATAATGAGTAAGAACGTTTCGTAGTTTAAGTAAAAAAATAAAAAAAAATA